CTTTGCCTCCCTTCCTCCTTCCTCAGCTCCCTTCTTCTTCCCTTTCCATCAGCATAAGCCTGGAAAGGAGCTACTTGGCAAAACCAGTAAGTAAACACTCGAGTAAGAAATGTAACATACAAATGGACATACCAAAATCAGTAAATAGTGTTCTGCCTTTAAAAAAAACAAATCCTAAATTGGTACAGAAAAGGCCACTTACATCCTGTGATATGCATATCTAAACTGACTGCTTTAATTATGGTATCAACGCCTTCCCGATGTCCCAAAGTGAACCAAACTCCTCCTCATCCATTACCACGGGCATTGTAGCCTGCTAGCTTGGCGCTCCTCCACAAATGCATGTATTTCCCCCATGGGCAAGTTTAAGACAGTAATTTTTCAAATACATTTTTTGTCAGTCTTCCATGTAAAATACACAATGTTCATAATTATCAAATAAGGGGTGCTGACGTAATTTTGTCTGCATGTAACAATTGCTCGGATGATTAAAAGAAACTAAATAAGAAAATAAGAGACTTCACTTAGCTCACTGCCAACAAAAAAATACTATGTGACACATATAGTCATTTGAAAAGTAAAACCTCACAAGAATAAAAACCATACTCCATTAGTTTTGATAATACACTGCTTTTGTGCATTTTCAGGGTAGGTGTTCATTTTAAGGCTGGCTGTATCGAAGGATCGCTTTGCATTCTAGATCTATGATGGCCGGTATGGTAACTGCCAACTACAGGATAAGTAGCTAATGCACGCTGAAATGAGCTATAAATAGAAACACTAAGCAAATTTAATGCCTACATGGAAAATAAGTGTTTACTATCTCAATGTTTAACTTGATCATATATATAGAAACATGTTTTATACAAACCAGGTTAAAAGTTACTCAATTAACTTCACCTTTTCTTTTTTGAGATGGCTGGAAGAAAATTTCCAATGGCATATGTAGGCAGCATTTCCATTTCCATTGTATAGCACTGTATGACATCATGACCACAATTAATTGGATGCAAGCTTTGATTCCTATAATTTTGAATGGATGTCCTTCTTACCCCAAGGCTATTAAGAGAATAGATTCAAATAAAATTGTTTTTCAAAAACAAGGAACCCTGAGTGGTGGCCCATTCCTGCCATCACAGAACTTTAGAAGCTGTGATTGGCCAGTTGCAAGAAAATCAATTCCAGGCATCAAAGAAATAAAACCAGGGTATATTCACTTTTCTATCTCAGACTCAATGCAGTTTAGATTGGTTTTGTTTAGTTTTTTATTTGTTTGTTGTCTGTGTTTTCAAGACAGGATGCCTCTGTGTAAACAACCCTGGATATCCCAGAACTGGCTTTGTAAACCAAGCTGGCCTCAGATTCACAGAGATCCACCTGCTTCTGCCTCTAGAGTGTTAGTATTAAAGGTGTGCCACCACCGCCCAGCACTGGAGGTTTGAACTGATAAGTGTTTGCAATGAACATGTAAGGAGTCTTCAATTACTGCAACACTACTCCATACAAAACAAGGTGAAAGCTTGTCTAGTCCACTTGAAAACATGGGAACTTTCCTGGTTTTCAAGTTCTAAACATTGTTTACTGGTGGTGAGTGTGCAGACACCGGTGACAGTCATTACTCTAAGGACTTAGCAAAGAAATGAGTCATGGCATTTGGCTCACTGCTTCTAGCTAACCCTTAGGAGTCCTTGAGAGGTTCATCTGGGAGTCGAAGCATCTATGTGGTCTTCAGGAAACCTGGAAAGCTCCAGGGAAAGCACATTTGTGTCTTCAAAAGGTGCAACAGTATCCACAAGTCTCCTTGCTTCTTATAGTCTAAACATCACGGAAATGGATTTGTTTCCATAGACATCTGTATTTCCTGGGTGTGTAGATGTTAGTTTATTTAACTGTCCCAGGCAATTTTCTCAAATACTACAGAACAAACACTGAACCCTGACACTGATAATAATATACCCCAAAACAGAACAGCGCAGTTTTCCTTCCTTCCCTCCTGCAACAGAACAGGAAGCAGTCTTCTCCAAGTGCTGTGTCAATTACAACCAGCTGTAAACCCAGCTGACTCCAGCTGAGACCTTTAAGGATTACACTCTAAACTGGCTAACCCAATTCCAAATAAAAATGGGTGAGACAAGGAAAGAAGGAGAAAGAGAAAGAAGAAACGCTCCCTCCACACAGACCAGCCAGAAAGCATGGGAGATACAATGTCACCTTCTCGGTATCACCTATAGTTACCTTCTAAACCTTCACCATCTGCTGTTACTAAATAGAAAACTGTTTAACTTCGTCCTCCAGTAGGGAGGAGTGAGTAATGGACTAGGAAAAGCAAATCTACAGAAAACTCTGAGAAACGGAGCCCCAGAAGAACCAAGAAGCTAGCTCCAGTTTTCAGAAGGAATCCTATCGCTGTGCCAAGGGGACACCTACACTCCTCACGCTCCTCCATCTGCAATTCCAGCCCAAATTTAGAAATGAAGTAGAAAGGAAAAAGGAGAGTTGAAAAGCTTACTTGTCTTTATTCTCTAGTCTCTAGGGAACTATCAAACCCCAGAGCCACCACCATAGATTTCTGTAATCCCATCACTCAGGAAAGATGAGGCCTAACAAGACACTGTGAATAAGGAAAAAGAAAACATCTTTCGTGCATGTGTATGTGTGTGTGTGTGTGTGTACAGGACATGTGTATAAAGATATATATGTATGTGAGGTCAAAGGACAATCTCGGGTGTCATTCACTAGGCACCAGTCACCTTGGCTTTCTTGAGACAGTCTCCTGGCCTGGGAGCTCACGATGTAGGTTAAACCAGCCAAGGACCCGCAGATATCCCTGTCTTCACCTCCTCAGTGCTGCGATTCTAAGTACACGCCACTACACCTGGCTTTTTATATGAGTCCTGGTTACGGAACTCAGATCCTCATGCTTGCATGTCAAACACCTTTTACTGACTGTGCTCTCCCCCTCTCCAACTTCAAGAAGAAAACCTAAATATGAAAACCATCCTAACACTCATTTTAGAACAGTGGTTCCCAACCTTCCTAATGCTGCCACCCTTTAATACAGTTCCTCATGATGTGATGACCCCAACCATAAAATTACTTCATGGTTACTTCATAATCCTAATTTTGCTACTGTCAGGAACAGTAATGTATTTATCTGATACACAATCCCAAAGGGGTTGAGACCCACAGGTTGAGGACTGCTGCTTTAGGCTAATTGGGTTTCTTTTCCTAAGAAGGGTAAGTTAGATTCAAACCAGGAAGCCAAGGCTCTAAGGTCATTCTGGTTAGCTGCTACTTGTTTCCTGGTTTCCTCTAATAATTATTTCAGAGTTCACATTTATGACTTGCTGAACAGACACCACCAAAAGCCTCCAGCTTAAATATTTCCTTTATTTCCTCCCAAAAGGATCAGTTCTCACCTGATAATGTCTTGTGTGTGGACTGGGGAAATGTGGCAACACAGAACAGACTAGAAGCAGAATCCTAAAGCTCAGGCTGGCATGGAAACAGACACCCCCGTTCCTGAATCCTAAAGCTCGGGCTGGCATGGAAACAGACACCCCCATTCCTGAATCCTAAAGCTCGGGCTGGCATGGAAACAGACACCCCCGTTCCTGAGCGCCCTGGCAGAGCTGACCCAGAATTGACCAGGTAGTGAGACACAGCCTGGCCTTGCTCTCCTCTTCCACCAATCAGCTCTGGCCTTCAAATGCTCTTTTCAGTCTGGGTCCTTCCCAAGTGTCACGTAGACCTTCTTGCCCATGTCCAGTGGATGTGGACAGCTGCGGTATGAGCTGGGGAGGCACATACAGCGCCTCATCTCGCTAAAGCGTCAGTCTGGTGAGAATGACAACCACGAGGTGTGTGTGCCTGAGGTTAAAGGGCTAGGCCTGGCACACAGGGGAAAGTTCACCTAAGCAAGGCCAGCTGCGAAGACATTTCAACAAGCTTGGCAGATGCTACGTTGCTACGTCCCTATGGCTGGAGGGACACACCTTAGAACATATGGGAGCAGATGAGAGTGTCGAGTCCAATGCCCACATTTCTGCCCGAGGCTTTGGGTGAGTTTAACTATCAGAAGGAACAGTGCTCGGTGAAGTGTGAAGTCTAAGTGGAGATGTTAGTGAGTGGTGAGGTCTGACGGGCGAGAGACTAGAGACAGAGGCTGTAAACACAGGAATGGCAACCGAAGCCACAAAACCTGGGAAATCTGCACTTCAGACACAAGTGGGAAACAGCGCAGTGTGAGCAAGGCAGGAAAGAGATTGGTCATCAGGAGGAAAAGCAGCAGTCCAAAGGGGAAAGACTGTTTACCAGGGTTTGGTTTTTATTTTTAGTTTGATATGTATGGCTATTTTACCTATACAGGCACCACGACCAGGCAGTGCCCAGAGAGGCTAGAGGAGGGTGTTAGATCCCCAGAGACTAGAGTTACAGATGATTGTGAGCCACCAAGTTACGTGCTGGGAATTGAACCTGGGTCCTCTAGAAAAACAGCCACAGCTCTTAACCACTGAGCCATCTCTCCAGCCCCAACAAAGCTATTTCTGCTGCAAGGTTTAAGAGGCGCGGTAACTTCGATGTGCACAGCCCTGCAGTTTCACAGAATCATGTGAAATAAGAATGTGACGTGAAAAGAGGTAACTGAGTCGGTAAACGTGGGCAGCCGCTTCAAAAAATCTGGTTAAGACAGGAAAGGACATCAGCGATGAAGGTTCTGGAAACATGGATTTGAAAGCATGCAGAGCCCAACCCTGATGAGGTCCAGATGGAAGAGATAAGAGAGTGCCATCCATGAGCAACCAAAGGGCTCGGGAGTTCATCTGCAGGAGGAAAAACGTTCAAATAATGAGGTCTTTTGAGATTTTCGATCTGGAGAGGGAAGAGGCAGTATCTGCTGGCTTCTTTCTGTTTTGGAATCAGGGCTAAAGGGCCAATGTGCAAAGTCCAGTTTCTAGTCTCCACTAACTAGACACTCATGCAACCTATTAAAACCCAGCTTTTCTTTCACCACGACAGACACTGTCCTTGTGGAATGCATTGACCCCAGTTTCACAACCGTTTGCCAGCAGTGGGACCAGCCTCGTTTCTCCATCCGTCTCTAGGACAACTGCCCGTCTAGCTCTCCGGCAGTCCTCATCACGCCTTGAAGCTTCCATGTTCTCATCTTGTGAGGTTGATGTGTCTGCCACCCTACCTTTTCATGAGGAGTTAGCATCTTCCTAGCCTCAACTCAGAATTGCTGACCTTTGCCTCTCCTGGGATTAGTCCTTTTTAAAAATCGCCCTACTGGTTTGTATGTTTTTAATTTTTTTACTTCCTGTCTTCCTAAGATCCTAGTCAAAGGGGGGAGGGGCTCACACCTTTGATCCCAGTGCTCGGGAGGCAGAGACAGGTGGATCTGTGAGTTGAGGCCAGTCTGGTCTACAAAGCAAGTTCCAGGACACCCAGAGCTGTGATACAGAGAGAACCTGTCTAGAAAAGATACCCTCCCACCACCAAAAAATAAGATCCTAGTCAAGGGCTGGAGAGATGGCTCCAAAGGTAACAGCACTTGGCTCTTGCTGAGGACCTGGGTCCTGTTTCCAGAACCCACACAGCGCCACACAATAAGTAACTACAGTTCCAGGGAACCTAACACCCTTTTTGACCACCCCAAACACCAGGAATGGAGGGGGTACACATAAATAATTTACAGGCAAAATACTTATACACATAGAGTAAAAACAATGAAGTCTTTTAAAAAAACCAAATTGACAGCCGGTGATGACTCACGCCTTTAATCCCATGACTTGGGAGACAAGAGGCAGGCAGATCTCTGAGTTCAAGGCCAAGACCAACCTCATTGAGTGGGTTGGTCTACAGGGGACATTCATGCTCAGATCAAGCCTGAAGTCCTGCTGGAGCTGGCAGATCCACCAGCCTCCAGAATGACTGCATTGTTACCAGTCGAAAACTTTCACAACTCCACCGGTCTCTCAGGATCATGGGTGTGCAGGGCTAACTCAACCAACCTATAATTTTCTGCCAAGCTCTCAAAACAGCCTTTACATCTTTGTCCTCTAAACGTGGTCAGCAGTGACATCATATGGCACTTGTTAACATTTAAGAAAAAAACCCTCAGGCCCCATCCCAGGCCATCTCATGACTCATGTACAGGGATTTCAACAGCAACTGTTACATTATTACTTTATATCCACTGAACTTCTCAACCCCTAAGACACACCATATATCCTTCATTGCAAATCCCCACATCTTCATTAATACATTGCATAACTTGCAATGTCACACACTATTGTAGAGACACCTAGCACTCGAACATGGTATATAATAAGCCATAAATACTTGAATGAATAAACCCTTTGATCCATTAATTAATGGAAAAGTTTACTTAGGGACTTGGACAATCTAAGGTATGCAAATGAAAACTGACTGTCGGACAGTCAATAGGTAACTCAAGCAGGTGTGATAATTTATGTCTATAATCCCAGCACTTGGAGGAGTGGGGGCTGAGACAGAAAGACTGCCATGAGTTCAAAGCCAGCCTGGGCTACATAGTAGCCATAGTTGCTAGGGCAGGTAAGCCCTAGCAACAGAAAGAGACTTCAGAAAGAATGAAAGAAAAATAGAGAGGGGAGCGGGGTAAGGAAAAGAAAGGGAAGTAGACAGGAAGAAAAGGGAAATAGTAGTTCAGAATCAATCCAAAGTGAATTGAGTTGGAAATTATCTTCATATAGTACCAATCAATTGAAGGTGACAATGATAGATATGAGGTCACCCAGGTTTAGGAGAGATTGTAAAAAGGACTCTATGCCAAATCATGGCAAAGCTAGAAGGCAGTGAGGGCCAAGTCAACTGAGTGGGAAGAACCAAAAATAGGTGTCAGGGATTTCAAAGGGATAAACTCATTCCACACATGGGTCACCTTTGATAAACACAGGAGAGAGCTTAGAGCAGAACGCTGAGATGGTGGTGGGGAGGCCCACTCCTGGAACCCCATAGTCCCAGCTTTCAGGAAGCAGAGGCAAGAGGATGGCGGCCAGGACAGCCTGCCTACATAAGAGTACAAGTGACCTAATGAGAGAGAGAGCCAGAGATCAATGGGAGGAGGGAGCATGGGAGGAGGGAGCAGTGAAGAGAGGAGCACACCAGTGTGTTCTGGAATGACGATATCAAGCCAGGACATAGACAATTACCTCATGCTTATTTTTGTGGTAAGAAGAGTCAAAATCTACTCAGCAGTTTTCAAGACTATATTATTAACCAGGGTCAACATGTTCAGATACACCTCTTAAACACGCACCTCTGATCCACTGATAATAACGCACCCTTTAACCAGTATCTTCCCAACCCCTTCCCCAGGACGCCTGTTCTACATACACAAAGCAACTGAGGTGTACTTCAGACTGCGGCTTAGCAACCATCTAGCAAGTGACTGGGAATTGAGGTGTTTGAAGTTTTGCTCACAATGGTAGAGTGAAAACCAGCAGCACCCTGTTACTGAAAAAGCAGCTCTGAAATGCTGGCACTAAGGCCAAGCCAGTCAAGTTTCCATCACAGACGAGGAGGAACTCATGAAGCCTCACCCACAGCTGATGAGTCAGGAGAGGCAGTTACCTTCAGGGAACGGACCTTGGTAGCTTGTCCATCCTCCAGTGAATGGGTCTGCATCCCTGCACAGGCGGACAACTCCAGTGCATGGATCTGCACCCATGCACATATGGACAGTGCTGAATGGACTCTGAACTAGAAGAGGACGTGAAGTTTGGAAAACATAGCAGGGGAAGGAAGTCATCTGGGAAGATTCCAAAAGCAAAGGGGAGGTTGGTAAGATAAAAATGCATCATACACATGTATAAAAATCTCAAAGAATTGGTTGTTTTGGGTTTGGGCGTGCTTGTGTTTGTTTTGTTGTTTTATTTTGTTTTTGTCCCAGGCTGTCCTTGAACTCACAAAGATTCATCTGCCTCCGCTTCCAGATTGCTGACTGCTGGGATTAAAGGTGTGTGCCATTACACCCAGCTGAGTTTTGTTTGTTTGTTTGTTTATTTTAAAGAAAAGAAATGCTGGTTCACATCTGTAATCTTACTACTTGGGAAATGGAGGCAGAAGAATCAGGAATTCAAGGCCCATCCTTTGTTAGAGGCCAGCCTGGGCTACACAAGACACTCTCTGAAAACAAAACTACTTCAGGTACATGGGGTACATTCAGGCACATTAGTTTGCAACAGTATCCTAAGCCCAGAAAAATCTTGGATTCCTCAGTGACTCACAAGCACTCAACCAAGACCATGAAATTAAAAGGCTAGTAGTCATAAAAGCCTTCAATATTTGACACATGGTCAAACCAACAGCAGGTTCTTCATAAGTGACAGGTGCCCAGTGTTAGAACTAAGGATATCAATTAGAGGTAATCAAAGAGAAAAGTGGCTGTTTCAAAGGTATAATCTCACAGTGACATGAGCAGGATGAGCAGCAAAACTGGGACTGTGGGACATTAATTTACATGACCACTCCATGCCCCAGTTTTTCTACTCATACAATAGAAATGACTATATATGTATACCCTCAAGTGTTACTTGAGATTAAAGGAGCATATATACAGCCCTAGAGACATGCCTGGTGATGTCCTCCTGTAAATCCAGGAGGTGGTTGGTAGACGCTGAAGCAGGGCTGCTGCTAAACTGACTGTCTAAGCATCTGAGTTCCAGACAACACCAACCATTAGAAAAGTGACGCCTACAGCTGGGGATGTATGTAGCTCAGTTCACGGAGTGCTTGAAGCCCCGTCTTCCTAAGCCTAGCACTGGAAGGATCAAGTGTTCAAGGTTATTCTCCAACATAATCAATCAGAGGTCAGATTCGGTTGCTGGGGGTGAAGGGTGGAGGGATGGGGGATGGGTTTAATAACTGTTTAATTGGGGGGGGGGGGTTAATCTTACTACTACAGCTCCAACTCCACCATTGCTTCTAACCATATGACTTTGGACTACGTAGGCAGCGAGTCCCACCAGCATCCAGGACACGACACAAAACTCTCTAAAACTTAAAGACCAGGGGTGGGCTGGAGAGGTGGCGCAGGGGTTAGGAGCACTGACTGCTTGAACTTCCAGAGGACCTCGGTCCAATTCCCAGGATCCACATGGCAGCTCACATCTGTCTGGGACTCCAGTTCCAGAGCTTCTGACACCCTCACACACACAGGGAGGCAAAACACCAATGCACATTAATAAAAATGAATTATTAAAAAAAAAAACTTGCAAAGACAAGTCTATAGTACTGCAGTATCTAATAAGTAAAGCTTATCTTGCAAATGCAAGTCAACTGTCTTAGCAATGAATAGACTTCTCACCATTGCATCTAAGAGCCAACACTCAAAGCCATACATCCATTAGTTTCTGAGGTGTTTGGGATTTAGGTTTTGGGGGGATGCTTTGGGGGGGTGGCTGGGGAATCCCTAAGTTCTTAAGCAGAAAAACTGGAGTGAAAATAGTTGTTCTGTTTAGATGAAAACAATTGTCCTTTAATGATTTATTCACTACACCCTAATACCCACTGTATGGACTGAATGGCTAAGTATATTAAAACAGCCTTAACGGAGTGCCTATCAAAGAGGCATTTCAAGAGAAAAAAAAATACCTCATTCCCTCACCAAAAATAAATATAAAAAAGGAAGGTGTTCAGTCTACTACGGTTTCTGCTTTGGACCTGGTCTTAAACAGTATTTCCTCCAGGGAACACAACCTCACTTTGTTTTGATTTACAAAACAAAGGTGGGCTGGTAGAATGGTTCAATGGCCCTTCATGTTTCCCAGAAGATTTACTTTCGAAATTTCAGCCAAGCCTAGAATCAAAAAAGGCAGAGGTGGAGCCTGAGATCCACAGATTAGACGTGTTAATAGAATGTTGATCCCATGAGTACTGTCCACAGCTGTGGCATCCAACAATGGAATTAACATTTCAACAGGAAGCAGAGAGCCACCCCAACAGACAGAGCCACGGCCGTCAATCCAGCCTCCTCCCCAACTCCCGGGACCCTCCCCAGCATCATCTACCGTGACTACACTGAGTGCGCGTGACTCCTAGAGTTGAACGTGCGGATCCTTTTATGACTCATTTGGGTTTAAAATTCCGCCAAATGCTTAGTATAGTCAATGAGATCAACTAATTAAAACATAGGGAAAGATCAATTTCTAAGTGTCCAAATGTTTGTGCGTCCTGGGGTCCGGGCATTTTTAAATGGCTTTTTTTCCCTTTTCCTTCTGGAAAAGGCTCTGCAGCCGAAAGATGAACTAGGCGATTCCTAACAGCACACACAACTCGCCACCTGAACGTCGTCTTTAAAAAACGAATCAACTCATTACAAACCCGGGATAACTCCTCCCCAACACTGATTTCAGACCGTCAGCCTCCTAATACCCCGTGTCTAAGGGTGGCTGTTCTTTTGAGATCAAAATCCAGCCGGCTAGCGCCGCTTGGGTGTTCCTTTCCTAGAGGTAGCTGGGATTGACACCGAACGGCTCAGTCTTCTCTCAATAATGGCGTTTGTAATTCAGCCTCCCCGCCCGGACTACACGATACCTAAAAACTCGCAGCCGGGTGGCTGGAAATCGGGGAAACGCTGGCGGACACGGCAGCCAGGCAGACGCGGGAAACAGACAAGGGCACATAAAGCGAAGTGGTCCCCCAGGGTAACCTGCCCTGGAGGCGCGCCCCGCACGCCGCTCCACGAGCCGCGGCCCCCGCTCCCGGGCGATCCCCGCTCCGCAGCCGCCCAGACGCCCCACGCCCCCTGCGCGGCTCCCGGGGCGGATTGCACTCTCCCGGCTGGCGCGCGTGGCCCGGCCGGATCACCCCGGGTGCATGGGTGCCCACCGGCCACCACCACAGCAGCGCCCCAAATTGAGCCGCCCCCTCCCCCCACGCCCCATTGTTCCCGGGAGGCCGCGGGCTGCGAGCGCAAGGGACCGGGGGACACAGGGATGCCCCCACTCACCCGCAAGCCCGCACAGAAGCACGAAGCACAGTAGGAGCGCCATGGTGGCTGCCCGGTCGTGGCTCGCAGGTAAACGCTCCTAGCTGGGGACCTTGGTTTTTCCAGAGCCTCGTACACTCCCGAGTAGCTCCCGGCGGTGGCAGCAGCGAAGGCACCTCTGCGCCCCGCCCCAGCTCGGCAGGTGAACGCGTCACTTCCGGCAGCCGTCCGGAGCCCCTTGGCAAGAGCCCGCAGTGTTGGCGCCCTGGGGTTACCATGGAAACCGGGCGCAGCGCGCGTTCCCCCCCCCCTCCAGGGAACCTTCCAGTTCCAGCAGGCTAGCGCCCTACACCTGCTTGCACTGGGAGCCATCTCCAGCTCCTCCAAGCCTTCTCCCCTCGGTTAAATTGCTGCTTTGTGGACTGAGAACCAGCCTGCCCGTGTCACCGCTGAAACTGCAGTCACGCCCTCCTCCCGGGCCGACTCCAGGCCAGAACTGCTCCCTCTCCCTAGATCCTGAGCTCGACTCCTACCCTCCACCCGACAGCGGCCGCCCGATTCCGTGGTCAGGGGCGCGGGCCTCCCGCCACCCGCGCGCCCTTGGGCGATCCGACAGTTCCGCGAATCTGTCGCCTTCTTTTTGAATGGATAGGCTCCTGTAGAAGGCTCGGGAGAAGCTTTCCTTCCGCTCCTGTATACACTGGCACCGTAAAAGGAGGCTCAAGGTTTAACATACACCTAGGACGTTTCTCCTCCTTGCGTTTATGAGTCAACCCCGCCCTGAAATTAGCCCACTAGGGCAAGAGAGCTTTAAAAGTGGGGCTGGCTGGGGGTGGCTAAATGCGTTAGGTAGGGTGAATGGGAGTGGCTCCCCGGGAATTAGGGGTTTGAACAGTCTACGCAATCTGCCCTGTGGCTTTCCCATGCCCTTGTCCTCAGGCTAGTCCTTGCTGCGCATTCTTGGTTGCTCTTCCCTGATAACGTTTATTTTTAACTGTAGAGATGAGAAATTTCACCAGAGCCCCGTATCAGCAGACAGAAAATAGAAGCAACCAGTTCCGTGGCTACGACTTGGCGGGTTGGGTGGGCAAAGTGAGAGCCAAATCGAGCATGGAAAATGCTTAGCACCCCGCAGAGCACATGGGAAATGCTACATAGGTAGCAGCTACTAAAGAATATTGGGGATGGCTTATTGTTTATTGAACCAGAAAGGAGAACAAACAGGTGCGAAGGTGTGAATAAGAATAGTGCCAATAGGCTCACATATTTAAATGCTTAGTCACCAGGGAGTGGCAATATTCAAAAGGATTAGAAGGATTAGGAGCTGCAGCTTCCTGGAGTAGGTGTGGCTTTGTTGGAGGAAGGCTGTCACTGGAGGCTGGCTTTGAGGTTTCAAAAAATCCAGATATTCATTTTCTCTCTCTCCTCTCCCCTCTCCTCCCTGTCTTCCCCCCTTCCCATCCCTCCCTCTTCCCTCCTCCCCTCTCCGCCTCTCCCCTGCCTTGCCTTATAAATCAGCATTGTGGTTCTCAGCTACTTCTCCTGCATCACACCTGCCTGTGGCCATTCTCCCTGCTGTGATGATAACGACTAAACCTCGGAAATTGTAGGCAAGCCCCCAATTAAATGCTTTCTTTTCTAAGAGTTACCTTGGTCATTGAGTAATGATTAAAATAGAAATATAACCAGACTTAAGTCTAAAAAAGCTCCTACAGGGGAAAAAAGTGTATTCCAGGAGAAGGCGCACTACCCAACTAAAAAGCTTAAAGAGTTTGCAAATTCACTGAAGCACAAGTCTGGGGAATATCTGTGGGGATGGATTTTAAGGGTGTGAGATAATGATGGAAGGACCATAAAACCGGAGCAGGCTGAGTTTATGGACATGGGCCCTCTGAATGGGGACTCTAGGTTTAATATGGAAGCTCCCACAGTTAGCAAAGGTGTCAAAAGTGTGAATAGCTTGGCTGAAGCCTTTGTCAAAAGATGGCCTTCGGAAAAGGAGTTGGAGATGCCTGATATCCCTTGGCTTGCTGTTGATGAAGGGATTTTAATTAAGGCTCGGGAAAATTGCAATGCTAGGGTGGGTGGACCGCTTCAGCCTAATCCTCCACACTGGAAAGGTCCAGAAGATTTGCCTTTCAGTAATTCAGTAAGGGGCAACACTGGGAGGAAGGCTCCAGCACACCTAATAGGTTTGTTGTTGCCACTTCCCTTGTGCCAGACCTTAGGGTGACACACTGCTGCTCCTCTGGATGAATGAAACACAATGGGTTTAATTGGGCCCCAAAGAAGCAGGGGCCAGGTGGCAGCACCGACTCCCCTAAGGCAAGGTGATTGCCGTTATCATAACGGGAAGCACAAACAAAACAATGTCCAAAATGGCCAGGTGACCTATAGCGGTCAGCTCAGGAAAAGTGAATTTTATGCTGGCCTGGCTCACTAGCCATTTGATGCTGGCTAATCAATCGTGGTGTTTCCAGGCATGGGACAGATAAGATGCCTACTAAAATTTTGGATCATGGCAAAAGGCAATATAACCCAGTGAAGTCATTTCCAGACTTGAGTCAGTTTGCAGACCCAGAACTCCTTGAATGAAGGGATGGCCAGGTTCCCCTTAGGAGACACCTTGATAAAAGACTTAAATGTTTCACTGCTAGCCTCTCTGTAGTCCTTCCCCAGAGGGACTTTTACAGAGATAACGGTACACTGGGGGAAGAAAACCATCAGGCTTTCTGTTGAATACGGGTTCTGCATTGATGCAGATTCCAAGAGACCCCCCCTCCACACCCCGAAAATACTGTGACCTTCCAGTTAAAGTAGGGACTTGGGAAGGTCAGGTGACTAATGGAGTTCTGGCTGAAGTCTTACCCATGGTAGCTCCAGTGGGTCCTCAAACCCATCCTTCAGTCATCCCACCAGCATCAGAGTATATAACTGGGAAAAATACACTTAGAAGGTGGAATTCTAATCATTGGTTCCCTAACCAAAGGAGTGAGGACTGTTATAGGTGGAAAGGCTAAATGGAAGCCTTTAGAGTTGCCTCTGCCAGGAAAAACATCGAGTCAAAAACAGTATCACATCCCTGGAGAAACTGCAAAAATTAGTGCCACTTGAAAGACGTAGGATTCTTAGTGCGGCATGCTGTCCACGGTGAGTTCTTACTAAACTCTGGGCCTCTTTTATTTATCCTGTTGTGATCATTATATAATGGTGTGGTGTGGTATGATTTGTATGTGTGTGTGTGTGTGTGTGTGTGTGTGTGTGTGTGTAGCAATGTGTGCTCTAAGAGTTAATGTTAGTAATTAACTTTGGAATAGAATAACCTGTGGCTGCTAACAGCTAGCCAGAGAATTCAGTACTGTTGGGGAAGTCCTGTTATTTGCCTGTGCATATGTCAATAAATTACTGCTGGCCAATAGGAATCTAGATAGGTGGGGCTAGGAGTCCAGGAGGATTCTGGGAAGGAGAAACAGAAGAGAGTCGACATGTAACGCCGGGTAGGAGCCCGGAAACTTCTCCGGTAAGAAACATACTTAGATTAACAATTATGGGGTAATTACTTAAGGCAGAGCTAGCCAGTAAGGGACAAGCAAGGCCAACAGCTTCATAATTAATATAGCCTCCTGTGTGTTTATTTGGGACTGATGCGGATCTAGAACCAGGCTGGCGCGGCAGAGCCCAGGCGACTGGCGGGGGATAACCAAAGCGGCTAGCAAAAGAAAAAGCTTCTCTTAACACAGTACTAAATTAAGGTCTGATGTAACTTGTGAACTTGATTCAATAAATTCTGATGTTGTGGAGATACAAATGTATTCACTTAAGTTTCAGCTGTGCTGTATTCACAGTAACGTGAGAGAGAGGGAGAAGGATAGAGAAGGGGAGAGAGGAAGGGAGTTCTATAACAGTTTCTTCCAAGATGAAAACACTCTATCCTGCAGGAATTCAAAGAAGGGAAACAACTGAAAAAAGCTCAGGAAGTCTCTGAAACTGACCAAATTCACTAGGTCCCTCCCTCCCAAAGCAAACCATAAAACCTGAGCGTTCTCAGACAGAAAAATGCTATTCTACAAAGAGGTCTCTCTGATGAACTACGCTGCAGACAAGGCTTAACCAAGCTCAGCTGAAGACTCTCAGAGGCGCAATGCTGCGGACTCGGAGAGCAGACCAGCTGCCTGCGAGAAGCAGAAACCAGCCAGAGCTGCCTGGAAGAGGTTTGGACCAACTGAGTTACCAGGAAGGACACCCTCCAACCTGTTGAGCTGCCTGCACGCTGTGCAGTGCACTCCAGGTTCCCAGGTTTGTAAGCTGTCACCCACTGGGGTGGGCTTTGGTGATGTGGTTGTCCTTGAGTCGGTTCTGCCCCTGTAAGTAAACCCTCACCCGTATTCCTATAAGTACTGTTGATTTACCAAACTGCACTTGGTGGTAACTGCACTTTGATCTGTTGTCTGTTCCCTATCAGGAGTGAATAGATTTTTTGTTACATCTCTCCAGGAAAAGTTTTGCCTCTCCAAATTGTGTCTCTCCAAAGCCTGAGCCTCCCAACAATAATTCTAATCTAACCCGATTTGAATAGAATCCCAGCTTACCTAAAGGGAGTCCAAGTGCAGAGTTAGACAGTGTGAACAGCACCTACAGACTACTTATAAACTGAGGAACCAGGACTTCTACAAATTAGCTGCAGATATGTCGTACTCACATTTGAAATTTTTACTCACCACCTTTTACTTCATGTAATTAAGCCACTGGGAGTAATATTGAAGTCATTTGAATCCATTTCACTGCTGTGAGACCTTTTCTTCCTATTGATCTTTGTGGTTGCTGTGCTGGCTGATTGTATATCAACTTGACACAAGCTAGAGTCATCAGAGAGGAAGGAGTCCCAACTGAGAAAGTGCTTCCATAAGACTGGGCTGTAGGCAAGTCTGTAGGGCATTTTCTCAATTAGTAATTGATGGGGGAAGGTCCAGGCCCTGGCTGGTGGTTGGTGCCATCCTTGGACTGGTGGCCCTGGGCTCTGTAAGGAAGCAGGTTAAGCAAGCCATGGGGAGCAAACCAGTAAGCAGTACCCCTCCATGGCCTCTGTATCAGCTCCTGCATCCAGGTTCTTGCTCCATTTGAGTTCTTGTCCTTTATTCCCTCAGTGATGAACAGTGATGTGGAAGCTTGAGCCAAATAAACCGTTTTCTTCCCAGGTTGCTTTGGTCATTGTGGACATCACACCAACTCTTACCCTACCTAAGACAGTAGCACACATTTGTCATAACGTTGTTGCTTTTCCCATCTCCTGCTGTGGGAATCAAACCCACTCTGTGGGGACCATTTTGGTCTCTTAGTGGACTAAATCTTAGAAATTAATTCAAAGAGATACTTAATTATTTGACTCTCTTTTCTGGCACTTTTTTCTAAAAGTCCTCATGTTTTAACTACTGGGATGGGCATTTGCATACCTATTAATTATGCCTCTTACTCTAAATATTTCTAGAAATTAAGAAAGGTACATTGTGCAATTCTATCATTTATATCAGCTGAGTATATAGTAGGTTCTCTAGCATTTAAATGGAGCCTTTTCAACATCATGGTAAATCATTTACATATTCAAACTAATCATTGGATGTATCTTTGATAATGTATGTTCTAAATGTTATTTATTTTACATGTATGGGTGTCTTACCTGCATGAATAAAGTAAGCCTGGCACCCTCCAATGCCAGAAGCCAGTGTCCCCTCCCCTGGGACTGGGGTTATTAATGATTGTGAGGCTCAGTGTGGATGCTGGGAAACAAACCTAGGTCCCTTAGACAAACCAGCCAGTGCTCTTAACTGCTGAGACATCTTGCTAGCCCCTAGAATTTTTAATGTAAGCTTTACCCATGTGGTAGTTCAGGTGTATAATCCCAGCACATAGGAGGTGGAGGCAAAAGAACCAAGAGTTCAAGGTCATTCTCAGTTACATAGCAACTTCAAAGCCACCCCTATACTACATGGGACCATGTCTCAACCAACCCCTCCTCTCAAAATTTACAGAATCGATGTTGTATGCTTCTTTATATTACACAATACAAATTTTGAGGGCATTAAAATATTATAGCCTATATGTAGTAAAGAAAGAATCACTTTATCTTCTTAGGCAGCTATTGTTCTTCAAAAAGTTTAACGAAGTCACTTTTAGACTCTGGATTGTGACCACATTTTCACATAAATACTAAATAAAATTATGCATGTAAGTGAAACCTGCAATGATATCTTAAAATGCTTTTCTACCTTCCTGCTTGGAAACGATGCCTCCTGGGAACTCTAGTGTAATAATCTCATTAACTCTGGAATGTGCAGTTTACTCATTGTCTGGCATACTCAAACCAAACAAGCAAATAATGCCCAAACATTATACGGGTTTCTCTTTCACGGAGTGCAACTGAGTATTGTGTAGCCTCTAAACCAGCAGAAAGATGATAGAGGCCCATAGAGAAGGTAGCAATTAAACATACCTAAGTCACTCTGTGGTTAATAAACCATCTATCCTTCCATGAATTTCTTGCTGGTAGCAATATGTCAACACACACAGGTGATGACAATTGTATAACCAAGGTCAACTTATACTTAGGAGTTAATAAATTTCCATCGAATTTGAGGGCCTAAATAGACATTTTCTATCACACATGACTGCTGTCTCCCCTGTTTCCGGGAAAATACTGATGATGCTCTTAAGAAATCAAGATTTGTTACTAGTGTGTTGTATTTATATTACCAGCACAAATTGATACATAAATATCATATAAAGGAGATGTGTGTGTGTATCATAAACCATTTTAGTACCCATAATTCTGAGCATTTCTTAGGTTCTAATAAAATTAGATGCACAAGTACAAGATTTATAGAGACCCAAACTCAGAATTTACTGATATAATTTTTAAATAATCTTAACCATGAAAAATCTGTTTATTTCAATCACTTCCTTTTCTTTCTTCAGATCTCCAGCATTTCATACTATTGTTTTCTTCCTCCAATTTCTGTTACTTCATAGTTTTCAGCTCAGAGTAGTGGAGAAAAAAAAATGTATTGAAATCACTTAGCTAGGCACAGTACCACACCCCTATAATAAGATCAGCACTCTGGAAGCTTAGCACGGTGGATTGTCACCACCAGCAAGTCGGTCCCAGGCCATTCCAAGATACACAGGGAACAAGGAGAGTTTGGAGGGAGAACCCCATGATAAATACCATTACCGCTTATGCCTGAAATATTCACCTCATGGATTGAATGGTTCGTCTCTGCTTTTTGATAGGTGGTGTAAACTTCAGGTGGTGGGACACGACAACAAGAAGCAAGTCCCTGGAGGGGTGACTTGTGAAGGATGTACATGGTCCCCAGCCTCTCTCTGTTCCCTCTCCATCATGAGGTTCGTGGCTCCTGTGTCATGGTCCCATAGCTGAGGCGTCCCACTCCACCACAGCCCTAAAAGCGTACATAGTCAAGCAACTATGAACTAAAATATCTGAACCCATAAGCTAAAAAGACAATGCCCACTTTTAAGTCCTGTATGTCAGGCATTCTGTTAAAAGACAACTAATGCTCAGTTTCCCGTGTAAATACACTGGGGCCCACGCTCTGGAAACACGGTGAGAAACAGACTGGGTATGCCACGATTTGTACCTATATATGAATTTTTATCAAATCCCCCCTTTATTCAATGTGTCATCCATCTCAACACCCTGCTGGATGTCCCTTAATTCAAAGACTCCTTCCCCTCCCTCCCGCAGCTGAGGATGGAGTCGTGCATGCGAAAGTTGCTCTAACCACTGATCTGTAATTCGGTCCTGTTTGCTGTAATCTTAATGTTTTCAGGAGTAGAGATAAATGCATATGTTCTATCCTCTACCTTCTTTCACAAGTCTGCCATCAATTCAGGTGAAACATTTCCAATAGAACATGAACTTCTATTTCTCCCAAATAATAACAATAATATTAACAACAACAACTTGGACTATTTTAACTTAGAATTTAACCAACTTTTTTTCTGTTCACCTTAGAAATTATACATTGTTGTGTGCTGAGTACAGTCAATATTCAGTTAGATTTGTCAATGTGTCTCTGTTTACTATTTCATCTTGCATCTCAAATCACTTCTAACATGGGTTTCCTGTGTTAGGGATTATGTCTTTCACTAAGTCATGCATTAAAGATTTCTTTAAAGTAAACATTGTTCAAATTGGTCTAAAAGTGTGTTATGTCTGACTACTGGAAACACTTCAACAGTGAAATTCTTTTTTAAAATTGTAGCAAGAGTTTTCATTTAAGTTACATTTTTAATAGATATTTAATTCTTGTTTCACATTTATATTAGTTGTTCCTGATTTTCTACTTGTATGTTACTAATTATGTCTTCTGACTCTGTAAGCATAATAAGGAAATATCTAAACATACTAAATATATATATTTAAACACACATACACATATACACAGACATATATATATAAATGCTTACACACATTATCTGAAATAACTGTATGACCAAATCAATGCCTTGTGTATCTCACTTTTGTGTATGTGTTTGTACGATGATTCTTGCTTCTTTTTATGTATTTTATGCTTTTTACAATTATGAACTCACTTGAGGAACTTAGTATAGATTACTAAAAGAGTTTAAATGCACAACACAGATTTTAATATTTTAAGTATACTATTTAGTGCCATGAAATGTTCAAATATTTGGTAAACTCAAATTCTGTACCCACTAAACAAACAATGCCCCTTTTCCCTACTTCAGCCCTGCTATTCATCAATCTATTTATTTTTTAATACGCCCCTTCTGTCTTCATCTCTCTCTCTCTCTCTCCCTTCTTCCCTCCACCCTCAAGAGTCAAAGAATGTGCATATACCTCAGACTGCCTTAAGAAATACAAATAACCAGAACAAAACAATCTCTGATATTTTTGTGGAGTTCTTGTTTCATTTTGCTTTGTTTTGGCTTTTTGTTTTTTCTTTTTTTTAATTTTGTTTTGTTTTGACTTTCATTTTAATGGGGGTTTCTTCAGAGCTTTTTTTTTTAAAAAAAAGTATGTGTGTTTTGTTTGTTTTTATTTCCTGTTTGTTTGTTTGTTTTGAAAGAGACAGAGAACATAAAGTTGGATAGGTAGGGAGGTGTATTAGCTAGATTTGTGTCACCTTGACACAAAGCCCTAACTAAGACAGAAGAGGAGGAGGACCTGGGAGGAAATGGAGGCAGGGGGAAACCTGATCAAACTATATTGCACGAAACACATTTTTTTCCATTAAAAAGTGATTAATAAATATTTGAAAAAATATTAAACACCTTTAGACTTTTTTTTTTCTTTTTTGGTTTCTCAAGACAGGGTACATTGCCTTGGTGTCTCTCCTGGAACTCGCTCAGTGGACCAGACTGGCCTCAAACTCACAGAGATTCGCTGGCCTCTGCCTCCCGAGTGCTGGGATTAAAGGCGTGCGCCACCAATGCCTGGCTCATCTTTAGCCTTTTAAATGCAGTTTAAAACTACTTGAGATTTTACCGCACAGAGTCGGGATGACTTTCAAGAAAACCAATGACAAATGCTGGTAATATTACCATATTCATGATAGGCAAACTCTCTATTCCGAGCTACTCACTCGGCCTACATGATGTTTTCATCATTTTCTTGTTTAGGCAAAAAGAAATTTGACAGTAAACTCTACAAAGAAAACTAAAAATGTCGCAGTGGCCAATGTGTGACATATACACTCCTGGGGCGTTTTGGTACTAGATGATTTCATGTTTGCCTAGTGCTCTGAGCATAAATAGATCAAAGATTCTTTGCTTATTCAGCATTAAACATGTTTAATTTATACCCGGCTATAAATTTAAATATGATAGCAGTATATGCATCCTCATCTACATTTTACTGGTTGCTTTTTGGCTGCAGACAGCCACCTGTCTGATAGATAATTACAATGCTTCCCATTTATAGACAGTAAAACACCTTTCATTCGAGGAGTTAAAAGAACTCAACAATTATGACTCATTGTTCTTTACATTATCTGGACGAAAATGGGGGTGGTGCCAAGTACTGACCCAGCATTTCAGGAGTCAGAGATGCAGTGCACAGCAAGGGCCCTTTCTTTGATTACACAGCAGCCAAAAGCACATCTTCCTTCTCTGCAGAGGTCTCCAGTGGTTTCCTTACACTTCTGATAGAGTTAATGACTCTTAGCTCTTACAAGAGCAGCCCTCCCTCCCGCTCAAGGCTCATCCACCATTGCAACTGTGGCCACTGCGGATATTTGACCTTCTTGGTGCTAGTGACGTCATCACCTTTCACATTTTGGATTCGTTGTGTCTTCCTAAAGGAACAATGACTAGTATTCTGGTTAATCTAGATTCCACTCTAATTAGAGTTCTTAGAGCATAGACAATGAAGTACAGATTGCTCTAAAGAATCCAGGATTCAGTGGGATGAATTGGCATTATGTGAAGTGTTTAGGGAGCTTCCTGGAGGGCACACTGTAACAGTTTCAGCTTCATACCTGGATATATAAATTATTAGGTTGTTTAGTATCCATTAATATCTACTTCCCTCAACTATAGGATCCATGAGTTTAGGGAATATATCTAATTTTTCTTACTGTTGTAGCCTCGGTGTCAGTTTAGTGTGTGGCTCTAAATATCAGCTCCAAAAGAGAAAATTAAGAGAATCAATTTTCATTTTTAGCAAAGAATTCTTTGGAAGTTTAAGTCTAAATCTTCAAACTCCCAACTTAAAACTGTGATCTAGATACTAACTATTCTAATTTATTATTCTGATATATTTGAATTGAGAAAGCATTGTAAGATGCTTCAACAACTTATTTAAAACCATTTAAAATTGAGTAAGATGAAGAGACAAATTAGAAAACAATGAACAGAGAGGAGCTCAGAAACCCAACTGAATCCATGGCCTGTAGTCACTCAGCTCCTAGGGAGAAGGGACTAGTGTAGATTGTTCTGGGGCACCAAAGAGATGTATTAGATCTGTCTGCTCTCTGGTCTTTTTGGAGAGACCTGCTGAGAGTTGAACTCAGCGAAGCCTCGGGTGTACTGGGTGCGACAAAAACTCCTCTTCTTTTTTTTTTTTTTTTTTTTTACAAGACAGGGTTTCTCTATATTGTTTTCGAGGCAGTCGGTCCAGCCCAGCCTCGAACTCACAGAGATCCGCCTGCCTCTGCCTCCCGAGTGCTGGGATTAAAGGCGTGAGCCAAAAAAACCCTCTTCTTAAATCAGTCTTTTTGGTTTAGTACAAAGGACCTTCCAATGTGCCCTGCTGCTTCTTCTTTCTTTTAGAACGAGGGGCCTAGCACCACCCTGTCTGGGTTTTGGAAAAATCATCCCCAAGAGTGACAGGGAGGAAACTGAAGAGAGAGGGAAGAAGCCAAAGAACAGAGTTCAGAAGAAATTATTGCCAAGGTCCCGGTAAAAAGCCGACACAGTGTAGCAGAGAATGGAGCTCGGGAAGGTGTTTTGGAGGAAGCACTAGGAAAATTTGAGCCCACTTGAATGAAGACAGCGGGGACAGGAAACAATGGGAACTGTCTCAGGTTTCTAGGTTTGGGCAACTTGTGGATAAAGGTGCTGTTAACTAAAGAGGGAGGAGCGAGAAGAGCCGGTTTAGTAGAGTGCAAATGTTAGGTTTTCAGTGCCTGGGGGACATCCAAGTGTAGATACCAGAAGAGCCAGACTGGCTGGAGATCCAGGCTTGGGAACCTAGATTGCACGCCTTTGAGGAATTAGTTTTTGTTTTGTTTTGGTGGTAAATCTCAACATGTCCCGTGGCAACTGTCCTGCAAACCTTGCCACGGGAGTCCACAAACACCATTTAACCTGTATCTTTCCTGATAGAATAGAATAAAATGCCATTTATCAGACTGTTTCTCTTCCCTGAGGACTCGCATTAACTAGGCCAACTCCAATAAAGCATCTTTTCTTGCTCCAGCACGGAATTGGTGGCAAACAGACTTCTTTCTTCTCTTCTTAGTAACAATGGAGCAGACCCTGTTCTGTGGAACCAGCACTGTTTGTAATTTTAGAAAGAACTGAATCCATTTTCAGCTCAAACAGGGCAGGGAAGATGGGCGAGTACTTCATGTAGGAAAGCGATGGAGTGTGTGGACAGATGCTGTTGGCCATGGGCTGGAACGTTGGAGAGAAGGACCTTGATGGGGAATAAAAGAGTGAACGTTGGAGAGAAGGACCTTGATGGGGAATAAAAGAATGGATAGCAAGACTGATGAATGAGCAAAATGGGAAAGCGTAGGAACCACACATCCTAGGCAGCCCTGGAGACCGTGTTATTGAGTGTGGGAAGATGTCAGCCATGTGCTATGCTAATCAGCAACAAAGACAAGAGAGGAGATGAAGTAGAGAGGAGCTCAGAGCACCAGGGCCAGTCAGAAAAATGCTCTTCTTGGGACACTAAGGGATTCTCTGGCTACCAGAGCCATTCGTAAGAATATTTATTTGATTTAGGGTTGACAGTAATAACAAGTCATAAAACAACCTCTGAAGAGCTAGGTACCACAGAAACTTCTGGTAAAGAAAGAACTCTTTTACCATACAGTCTCTCTGTAGAGTTGACCTTGCCTGTCTCTGCTTCTTAGATTTAGCAGTTAAGTACTGCTTATTAAGGCCCTGAAGCCAAGTGTACTGGTGCATATATATGGCTACTGCTGTTCAGGACACTGAAGCAGGAGGATAGTTGGTGTTGACCAGCTCAAGGCAAGCCTGAGCCACTCAGAGAAACCCCCATTTAAAAAAATAAAAGTATTAGAAAGACGTAGAATGTGTCTTATCAGTAAAAGACACTTTGGTGACTGTCCAGCATGGCCTTGTCTTTATATAAATATTATTGCTTAGAAAATCAAACTGGTTGCTTTTGTTCTTTGTGGTTTCTATTTTTTCTACTTCTGTAGGTGGAGATTTTCTATTGAGACCACCAGTCAGTTCTGTCCCACCAGCCAGCTCCCAAATAACCACACAGAGACTCCTTAATTATAAATGCTCAACTAATAGCTTAGGCTTCTTACTAACTAGCTCTCACATCTTAAATCAACCCATATTTCTTATCTGCATACCTTTTTTCAAGATGGCATGTTCATCTCCTGCTGCATCTGCATCCAGATGATGACTCAACGTGACTCTGCCCTTCTTCTTCCGAGGGTCCTCTCAGTCTGG